AAATGAAAATTTATTCTTCATCTTTATATACCCTTGACAGGGGACAAGTCATTGCTTCAGCAAGGTTGTCCTCTGGGAGCATGTGGCTCTGGAGTGTGCCCCACTGAGCGGAGAGCAGGGCAGGGACCTGTGCCCAGACAGCCAGGTTGGAGGCCCCTGCCCTTGGTGGCCAGGCAGCAGATGTCCCTGCCTGTCAGACCTTCCTGTCTTCATCTCATGCCTGCTGGTGATCAGTATTTAGGACCCAATTGATGAATGTCTTTCCTGTTTAGCAAGCTTGATTGTTTCTGTGATGGAACTTTTGCCTCTAATTTTGAAACTAACATTTATAGATGCCAGTATTTATAAATCCTTACCCTTCCTATACATCTTACTTAACCTGTATAAAGTGGTAAAAGGATCTGGCTCTTTGGCCCCTAAATGCTTGTTTTAGCAGAATTTCAGTGTGAAAACCCCTTTAGAAAATCAGTCTTGGTTTGCACCATTCCTTAAGCTTAAAGAATTCTCTATTCTCTCATGAAACAGAAGGTGGCCCTGTGATTCCTCCTCATTCTTTTATCCCTAAAACTATATACATTAGTCTCCCTTTATCTAAACTTTTACTTTCCAAGGTTTTAATTATGTGTAATTAATTGCAGTTTAAAATGTTAAATTAAAAATTCCAGAAATAAACAATTCATTGATTTTAAATTTGTGCCATTCTCAGTAGCATGATGAAATGTTGCACCACTCCACCACATCTTGCCCTGTGCACCTATCATCCCTTCATGCAGCGTATCCACCTTGTATAGGCTTCCCATTTGTTAGTCACCCAGCAGCTGTCTAAGTTATTGGATTAACTGGCACAGTTTTCCAGGGCTCACCTACTCTTTGTTTTACTTAATAATGGCCCCAAAGTGTATAATTAGTGACAAAAGGAGGTATCAGGGCATAAAACACAGAAAGACAGATTAACTCTGGGTAATGCTGCAATGCCTCAGGGGGCATAGGAATAAACATAGTATACACAGTATAGAGTTTGGTGCTCTCAGTAGTTTCAAGGATTCACCAGAAGGAAATGGCTTCTTTAGTGGTAAAGTGTTTCTGTTTTGTTTACTTAAATCAGGAATGAAAAAATGATTTCATTACATACTTTCTCTCTTAATGATGAGACCCTGTTGGTGTTATGTTGAGAAAGGATTTTGTAGCTCCATTTGGGAATAATGAAATCATGCTGTGGTTGATTAGTGATGTCTGCAGTGAACATGTATATAGACAAGAGGCAAATATGCTATTTGGGACTCAGATCTTGTGAAGTATGAATTTCACACATAGATGATGATACTACCCAAACTGTTATGTAGTATTTGCTATTTTTAGCTCATTTAACTCTCAAAATAACCCATGGAACAGGTACAAATGAGGAAACATGTAATGCAGAAATTCTCACAAATGAGAACATGAAGGTGCAATAAGATTAAATGACTAAATCAAGATCCTTTAACCAGTACAGAGGAGAGAGTCAAAGCCAGGCAGTCTTGTACCAGAGCCCTGGCTCTCGCCCTGAGCCTGTCTTATCTTTTGCTTGCTAATTCTGTGCCTGCTAACATATGACTGGTATAAGACTTAGCAATACTTCAGAAAAAATGCAAAATCAAATTTACAGTATCTGTTCATTTGGTCCTTGGGCTCTCAGATAAAAGATGAGATGGGAACCTCATCAGTGAAAAGGACAGCAAACAACCTTCCTCTTTCCTCTCCCATGTGGAGCATGCCTGGTTTCCCCCTCTACCAGCACTGCCCCCCTCTCACAGGGATGGGAAGAGGATATTTAAAGATGGGAAAGGCACTTATGGTAGGAAAGGCATTTAAGAGTTCAGGCCTCCAGGCTCCCTGACTGGGGATGATTTCTGAGTAGCCATTTTCAATGTTCATTTTTATATGAGGCACCTGTACATATAAAGATGTATTATGTATATTCATGTGCACATAATGACATTTGAATCACAGTAAACCTCCTGTGCAATGGTAGTCCCTTGAGATTACATTGTGTGTTGACTTCACAGCTGTCTTAGTTTGTGTAGTGCTTCTATGACATTAGCATGATAATGAGAACCATCTAATGGCCCATTTCCCAAAAAGTCTGACAGCAACACATCACTGTGTGTGTGTGTATTTTTTTAATGACTCATATAAGGTATATATTTCATAATGTCTAAAGAGAATCTTATAAATACCATTCGCACATTAACTCAACACATCCTTGTTATTTACCTGTTCTGTGTTGATACCAGGCAGGGATGGTGGTATAGTGACCATAGGAAGTAAGGACTGTCTTTCCTGGGCTTACAGTCTAATGCTAAGATGATCCTTATCCAAATAGGGACATAATTATGATGTGCAGCCTTGGTGAATGGGCTTGGAAAGAACCTTGGTCCCAAGGTTTTAGGGTAGTCATGGTAGGGGGGATGAATGACTCAAGTGGCCAGCCCATGCATGTCCTTGAAGGTCATCCTAAAGAGTATAACTCTAGCCTAGGAGTAATGGGGAACTATGGAAGGTAGAGAGGAGCATGTGAGAGTTTATCATATAATTAGATTTTTTTCATGTGAAAAAATCATTATGGCAATATTGGGAAAAATGAATTGAGAAAGGAGTCTAGAAAGTTTCCAAGGCAGTTGTAGGAGTCTAAACAAGGTCAGGCTAGTTGGGGCAAGGTGGTTTGGGTACTGAAGGGAAGAAGTGAGGGGCTCTACAGATGTGTAGGAGATGATACCTAGCTATATTTTTGGGCAGATTAATTGTGGGTTGTGAAGGATATGGAAGGGGAAGGTTGACTCAAAAGCAAAAGCATAGTGACCCTGTTTTCCAAGTCGGGGTGCAGGAAGAGGAATGGTTGGGAGTGGAGGCCTCAGTGTCACGGTGGCCCCAGTCAGAAGGGCCACACTTTTTTTTATCACAGAGGTGTTGTGTTTCACCCCACTATATAAGCCTGGGAAACCTACCTATTACTAAAGAAAAAAAAGAAAGGAAAAGTCTATGGTTTTGTTGATTTTTAAAAAAGCAAATTTTTACTCTAGACAATAAGAATTCTATCAATGACAAAAGAAATGAATAAAAATAAATTCCTTGTGTAATTAACTTGTTTTCATTTTTGAATGCTTCTCTTCCAGTCTTTTCTTATGATAGTCACATTTTAGTGTTTCACTGCAATCTGTAAAAGATGTAATAGCTTGTTTTCTCTTACTACTATCTGAGATATTTGTCTACCTTTCTGTATATCTTCTGCGTAGTATTTGAAATATGTTGCACAGTATTCTGTTCATTTGATAATTCAAAAGCTTTAGTTTTCTAAGCATTTAGTTGGTTTTAAGATTTTATTATTGCAAGTAAGACCTTACGTGTGCATTTTATATGTGTCACTTTTTCCTTCTGTATTAACCTTCAGGTTAAATTATTCCAAGTGGGGTTAGTGGGTTAAAGAGGTTGGACAGGTTTCTGACTCTAGATGTGGGTAAAGGTAACAATTCAAAGCCCTGGTAGGTGCTCAGTGGCCAGTTTTCCTGCTGCCAGGCAGCTCAGGGCATTTCTTGGCGCTCATTAGGCAGTGGGCATAACCATGACAGTGAGTGCTGGACCACTTGGGGCCTTCCACCATGACCTGCTCATTGTGCCCAGTGGTGACTGAGCACCACAGTAAGGCTCCTGAGCCTACCAGCTTGCACCCTGAACCTGGATGGTACAGTCTTTCTGTTATTAGAATAATGTCACAATGACTAATGAGCTGGCGGGAGTCCCTAAGGTCAGTTGGCCAACTCACTCATGCAGGCTTGTGGGGTGCTGCACAGGCTGCCAAGGGTTCCCTTGTACTTGGACAAGGCTACAAGTCTCCTGTGATGTGGTCCCAGACTTTATTCATCCTTAATTGCCATTGCTCCTCAGTGTTACCCTTTCATGGCACTGAGGCTGGGCTGCTCTCTGGGAGGGAAGGTCCTTTGGTGCTCACTTATGTGCGTCATTCCACTTTGCATTGCCGTCAAGATTCTGGGGCAGCTTCCTCATGCTGTCCCGTACTGCCACTCCCTATCGTGTGCCCCTCTGCCGCAGACACCTCTGGTACCCTCTGTCTGCACCTGAGAATGGGTTTCCTGGTATGTTTGCTTTGAAATGTTTGTCTCTCGAAGGTAACTGTACTGCCCTTGAAGGTGGGAACCATGCCCTACGATGGCCTTTGGAGCGGTCCTTTGGTGCTCAGCCCTTTGCCAGACCTCAGCATTAAACTGTAGCTCTCATGCTCCATGATCTGGGAGCAAGCACTCAGGCCGTTCCTCTCACATGTTTCCTACCTAAATGCTCATATTCACACCTGCCTGTGATATGATTAAAGGATTCCTGATGGGAGCACATGCTAGTGCTCTGGATCAGGTTAGGGTCATGAGAACCTGTTAATGCTGGAACCTCCCAAACTGGTCAGTCCTGGATGTGCACTGGGGCAGAAAGGGGCTAATGGCAGTGACCTGGGAATGATGGGATAGTGGCAAGTGCAGAATAGCCATCTGGACCTTAAGAAGGTGAATGTCTTTGGCTCCCATGAACAATACTTGAATTGTAGTGTCTACTCTGTTTCTTTAAGCATTGTTACCCTGTTCCTTTTAAATACCAGTTGCATCAATGTTCTGATTGTGAGAGTGGTGAGGGGGAAGCCACTCATTATGCCTGGGACTCAGGGCTCCTCTTGTTCTAGGATGGGCTGGCACAGTGGGTACCCCCCTCCTTCAGCCTATGGACTGTGTAGCCTAGAGGAGCTTGGACCATTTGCAAAACAACTTACCTGAACTTGAGGATCTCTCTCTTGTAACTGTGGTTAAAAATCAGATCATTCAGACTTAGAGGAGTGAGCTTTGGTGCATTTCTAATTCAAAATGAGAAATAGGCACACTGACACATTTAATGACATGTGTTAGTACGTGTGTAGAGCTTTACAGTTAAACTTGCATTTCTTTCTTTCTTTCTTTTTCTAGCCAAACATCATGTCAATGGCAACAGAACAGTTGAACCTTTCCCAGAGGGAACACAGATGGCTGTATTTGGTAAGATATCAACTCTGAAAGAAAACCCAAATTGTGTGCAAGCCTACTGCCAACTTGCTTAGTTTTAGCAAGTGTCCTCAGGACTTCAAAATCTGGGCTCTTCTAGATATTTACAAGTCATTACAGCCAAGAAAACTATCATGTTCTTAGTGATTTCTGGGATTGAGATCTTATTCTATAGATTCTAGTGTACTTTCTTTTCTCACATTGACAGCCCAAATATCAAACTGTGTATTTTCTATTTCTTTTCCACACTGTGAGTTAACCTACTAATTTAGGTTCTGAGTTTTTCTTTACTAAAAGGAATTTTTCCCCCACATTAATATACAACTTTAAAAGTCTGGGATTTGAGCAAGTAGTTTCGAGTTGTCTTTCTGCAAAAATCAGTCAAATTAGATGACCTTTCTTCATCATCAACTGAACACATTCCTTAGAAGAAAAATTAAAATATTTTAAATAGGACAAAGTTCAGTCTCTGATTATATGCCTAAGATATACAATTAGAGGATTTAAGCAGAACTTTCTAGTTAAATTCCAAAACCATTGGTGAACAAATCCTTTTAGGGCCAAGGCTGTAGGTCAGTGGTAGAGCACCTGCTTAGTATATGTGAGGCCTGGGTTCCATCCTCGCCTCTGAAAACAAAAATTCCAAGTCCATGTGTCCTTGCTCCTGTACTTTCTTCCAGATGTCTGTGTATCTGGCATTTGCTGTCTGTTTTCTTTCCTTCTCTCTCCTGTTCATCCTATTTGTCTTCATGTCAGTTCACTTTGTGCCTCTCCTTCCTCCTTTCTCTGGCAATGCCCAGGGGTTTCCCCAACTGGACAAGTGGACATTCTACTGTCTCCCCTGGTTTGTTTCCTTCAGTCTTTAGACAGCTTCTGTGGTTTGTTGCACCCTAGAATCTCAAGGCCTGCTGGTTCACTGTTCCTCTAGCTTCATTCTGGGGGGTTCTTGGTGTGTTCTCCAGGGGAAGGGAACTGCTTAGAAGCCTGGACTGTGCCTGCCCTGGAGGTCACCTCTGAACAAGTGAGGTCCTAAATGAGTACATTCCCTCCATTCCAAGATGAACTGATGCAGTCATCAGTGAGGAGGGACTGTTGGAGGGTTAAGAAACGGGGGCCTGATCTGCCTACTTTAGTAAATCTTGCTCCAAGTGAGCTATTGCTTTTCAGAATGTTCCTATCAGTGATTAGAGGTCACTACACTCAGAAATTTAAATGGATGATTTGATTTCATAGACGGCATCGTGGACGCTGTAAAATGTGTGCTAAAATAATGGATTCGTTCACTTTACTGTCCTGTAGCTTCGGTTACCATGGGACACAAATGTCACACATGCTAATGGCCAAAGTGTCCTTTGGATGATTTTTTTTCAGTCTCTTAGATTTGCCAACCCTAGACATGCTAGAAACAGGGCCCATGTCTTGCTGGGAAATGTCCAGTGATACTGACCCACCTTAGCACCCTCCTTCCCTCATGGAGGGCAGACCCTGCACTGAACAGACTGATATCATGGTTTGGCTACAGAATTGGAAATACTGTGAAATAAAAATCTGTGGCAAGATTTTTTTTTATCACCAGCTTGGTTTATAGAGGCTCACTAAAATTCCCAACTGAAGGCCTTCATGGTTTGACTTTGATAGACAAGTTTCCCTTCTAAGACCTCTGTTTCCTCGTGAAACATTGGTCCTTTCCAGCCCTGGGCCTCTGCCTCCTCTCTCTGGGGGACCCAAGGTGTGCCAGGCAGAGACAGCCCTGTGAAGCCTCCTGGGAATGGCCAACATGTGGCCCTAAGACGAGCTGAGTCACATGTGGAGTTTCTGCAAATTAACAGCATATAGAAGGCAGAATTACACAGATCTTAAAGTGAACTATTCTTTATTTAGAATTCCAACTTGGATCTTCCAGATGCTTAAAATAAGGCCCCTATTTTGCCTAAGACTTGTGAAAGCATTTCCTATTAATGTTTTCATAACTGTCCTTTTTGTATCACTTGTCCATCTCATCTTTTGGGGAGGATTCTGTCATGCTGGATTGTTTATAGCTGCACTGAGAAGGTCAAACTCTGAGTCATGTGGCACAATGCCTCCTGTGAGCACCTGGGAAGGCTGAGGGGCTTTATGTAATCCTGTTCTCAGAGAGATCACTTGACTTATCCGGGGACTTTTTGCCTGTGAAGCCAGAGTTTGATCCCAGAATTCATGTTCTTTTCGCATGTTCCCTCTCTATGCACTGGTTTAAGGAGCCCTGGGAGGACCTTGTAGATTCGGATATGTCTTTCAGTTGCTACATGCACAAAGCATAATTTCCAGAAAAGCCAATTTAGCAAATTGTTTAATCAACTCCTGCATTCTTGGAGTGCTCTGAAACACTCTTGAGATGCAGCTTTTGCCTGGAAGATACCGCTTGGAGCAATGTCTCCTATTACCATTTCCCCTTTTGACTTTAGAAGCAAATGTAACGTACAGGCATGTCTCTTACATCCCCTTTGTGTGAGTTTGCCAGAGCGATGATGGTATGTTCTTGTCCAAACTCCTTCTTTCTTAGAGGCCTTGATATTCAACAATAGCAATTTCCTAATCTAGTGGTTAATTATTTTAATATACCTAATAGAATGCTGTCTGACTAGGAACTTGTAGATTTAATCCACTCTGCAGGTGACCTGGAGCTGCCATTAGCTCTCAGATAGAGTGCAGGATGTAAGGAAGGACAGAGTGCATGAGGGATCAAGGCACATTCCAGGGTGATGGTACCCAAATGTCCTATTATATCAAGTGATCAGAGAATATATAGATAGTCCCTTAAAAGTGGTTCCTAGCATATAGTCTTTACAGATTATTTTTAGCTCAAGACATTTCAGGTCTTTCAGGCGTTCTTTTATAGTCCCTTAGTGAACTCTTTTTAGGCTCTTATTTTCAGCCTTCGAGTTCTTCAGTCCCTTTGTCGCTCTTTCCCTGGGCACAATGCTAATGAAGGCAGTGGACCTTTCTCCTGGTGGGCCCTGCCTGCCTGCCTGTGATGCTTCCTTTCCAAGTCAGCAGGGGCCCTGTTCTCACAAGCTGAAAAGGGGAACTGGACATTTCCAAGTTGCTTAATGTCTGTGTTTCTAGTGGCTCAGAGTGCCCCCTGGCCATCGTGCCTTTAATCCTCCCATCTGCTTTGTGAAGTGGGCACCACTGTGTTCTTTTATAGGCAGAGAAACTGAGGCACTGAGGATTAAAGAAACATGGTCAAGCAGAAGAGGTGCTTTCTCCCACATGAGAATGTCTTTTGCCAGCATGCTGTGCCTGTCTCAGGAAGGTGCCCTGTGGCCCCCAGTATCTTAACAGAAAGTGACATTGGTTGGCACTGGGGCACTCTGAGTGTGCAGAAAGCAGGCTGTAGCCTCCCCAGGAGGGAGCTGCTCAGCATGGAGCAGCTACTCCTTTTATTAAAGATACTCCACAGTCATTTCAGACTAAAAATCAAAACTTCTTAGCTGAGAAGGTGGAAAGTGAAGGGTGGAAGATTCCATCTTAAGCATAGAGTTTTAGCACAATTTTACAAAGTAAGATAAAACATTTACAGCTTGAACATAAATTTGTCATCTAACTGGGGCACTTTTGAAAGTGAAAAAGGTGTTATTAAAAATTATTTTGAAATGATGAGGTATATACCTGGAGGCATTCAGGCAACTGGGATGTAATGCCATCTTATAAATTGTTGCACTTAGAATAATAAATGCACACTGAGTGAAGTAGAAATTGAAAAAATAGTGAACTAAGATGTATAAAATAAAGGAAATGAATGAAAACTTACAATGCAGCAGGCTTTGTTATTGTAATGTAGCACACCCATAGTTATGCTAATTTTGAAGATTTCACCTGGTAAATGTTGAATGACTTCAAATTAAAAGTTGGTTCATATTTATAAAACCTCACTCACAGCCCTTCAGTAAGAGTAGGAGAATTGATCTGATTATACACCTGCAATTTGCTGATTGTACTAATACTTTCCATTGGTATAATGTGTGGAGTTCACCATCACCTGAGGTATTCAGATGATAGAGTGGTCATTCCTAACCAATGCAGAAACAGAGTAAAATAGCTTGAAGATATTTCTTATCAATTATGGAGATTTTACCATGTGCCAGAATGTCAAGACTTCTTTCTTAAAACAACAACAACAAAAACTTCAAACTCCTTTTGGCCTATCATTTAAGGATGGAAGTGTTTGGTTTTTTTGTTTGTTTTGGGTTTTTTTGTACTGGGACTTGAACTCATGACCTCATGCTTGCCAGGCAGGCGCTTATGCCACTGAACTAAATCCCTGGCCCTGGCCTATCATTTAGAAAGTCATGTCCGAGGCCTGCAGCTGGTGGGCCAGTACTTGCTTATCATGCATGAGGCCCTGAGTTCCATCCTTGGTTCTACGAAACAAAAGCAAAATTAAAAAAAAAATCTTCCAGGTTTGGCTTGGTGAAAGCTAAGATTCTGCAAGGAAAATTACCTTTACATTCAAAAATTGATGCAACAGCTGCCAAAAGGAGCTGTGAATTCTCCATTTGTGTTTAAGCTTCCAGTATCCTGACAGTAACTCTGTGACCATGAACCCCTGAAAAACCTGTGTTCGGTGTCAGATTCTCGTGTGCCTTCAGACCAGTGGAGCAGAAGCTAGTACCTTCACACTGCTGTAGGTGTGTGGAAGGACTGGGGGCGTGGAAGGACTGATGGCTGAGGTGGTCAGCTGCTGTCCAGGGCCCACAGGCATAGCTCCCTTGAGAGCAGGGGCTTACCATCGATAACACATGAGAATGAGATCAGTGTCTCTAAGATAAACTGATCACAGGAACAGTTCCTTCCCTGACGTGAACTAGAGGTGATTTTTGAAACAGTCCCAATTGTCTGCCAGCCAAGAAAACAGCCTTGGAAGCAGCAGGCAATATGTCAAACTTCAAAGGAAAATATATTGGTGTCTCATTGGCTCACATCCAACATTATGTTGGTAAATAATCGAATCC